AATCATTTGGTCGCACCTTAGAGCCACATGCTGGTGGCGTTACTTTGAAGCGCGCCACTCTTTGAGCACTCACGCACTCAAAGCCAACTACTTAACTTGGTCAATGGCCATCGGGGCAGCAGCTGGCAGCCAAGTTGGCAGCTTGGCAAGTTGCTTGTCCAAGAAGCACCGACAGCAAATAGAGCGTGTCCAGGCCAGACGCTTGGCCAACTGTGTCTGCAATTTGAAAGTGCCGCAAATGAATCAATGATTCAATGAATCAATGAGTCAATGAAACAATCATAGCGGTTCGGTAACATGCCCCGAATTGTGGCAACACTGCGTTCGCCTTGCGCTGTCTGTTCTTGAGAATTGTCGCATGGGGAATTCTCTCATCGCATTCCTTGGCACCACATGCGGCATCGGTTGCTGCTGTTGGTGGCCTGTGGTGCGGCTGCGGCTGCGGCTGCGGCAGCGACTGCAACTGCGACTCCGAGTCGCATTTGTATTCGTATGTGGCACGAGGTCTTGACATTGTACCTTGAGCAGTGTCATGATTTGCTCTCGATGGCGTTGCTGCCGCCTGTTGCTCATGTCATCGTTAAATGTAAATGAAAAGCTGCCAAATCAAATCAGAGCTAATCGTTAGCCGATTGTTCGAGTGTGTGTGTGTGTGTGTGTGTGTGTATAACAAGGCATGGCCAACATTAACGACTGCGTCCACACCCTGTGGGCGTTGCACATAGACAGAAAACATTGCTGCTCCACATTTGCCAACGGCCGTGCACTGTTGACTCATCGAGGTCGGGAGAAGGTTTTCGGGGCAAGTACCTAGCAACCAGCTACTAGCAACTCGCCACTCGCCACTTGCCACAAGCAAACACTCTAAGCCAAATTGCAATTGCACAACTCAAGCTATTGATAAACAGTATGTGACGCGCTTGACTGGCTGTTGCCACAGCGAAATTCTTGGCAAGGCTCAATCATGGCTGCAACTACCAAAGTTGCTTATTTCCAAGTATTTATTTCGAATTGAATTCACAAGCCCACAGCTCGGCCCATATATGATGTCAACGACATCTACTCAGTATTTAACTCTGGAAATGTTTATCAAATCCGCATGCAAAGCTCATCAATTGAATGCGGCACCTTTGATCGGACGCCCACTCGCTGGCATCTAGCTGGATCTGTCGACACCATATAGGGTTTCAGCTCTTCGGGTTCTATAGCTCTATGTAGTTAGGATTTGCTCAGCAAATCTCACATGCAATATTTTGTTCATGCGATTATTTTAAAAATAGAAATAAGTTGTCATTGTAATATGAAATAAAAAGCTAAACAACTTTTTTTTTAAATTGTTTTACGATTGATATTCTTAGCAGCAATTGGTGATGTCAACAACCAGGTAAATACTTAGATGTAGCTATCGGCAAGACAATGCAACTAGCATATACCCTGTATCCAGTGCTAATGCATAATCCTTGACATGTGAGAGTGGCCGACTAGAAGATACCCTATATGATGTATGATATGCTAAAGAGCCCTCACACATATTCATTTTCAGGGTCATACAAAAGTTAAAAGGAATAGTAGGCCAAATCCTGGGAAACAATAATTGTCAAGCTAGCGAATGCGGCTTTTTGTGACTTATAGAAGTAGGCTTGGCTTTGACATTTTTAGCTCGAATAGCAGAAACAGCATTCCCTCTTCCAATTTATGAACAGAGTACAATAATTCTCACAAATTAGCATATTGTTATAAATACGGCTATTAAGATTTGTTTAGTTTAATGTTTAACAAAAGAGACCAAAAAAACAAAAGAAATATATGTATAAATATAAATTGATTAGTTATATAATTTAAGCTATAAAAAACTGTGAAACAAATTGCCTTCATTTAAGTATTTCTTGTTATTTGAAAATGAAAGTTACTGCAGATTGGCCAAAAAAATATTTCTTAGGATTGCGCAAAATTTTCGATTCATACAAATGTTGCTTTTTTTTTTTTCTAAACATATTACTCATACGCCAGTTGGTCCGTTGGCCGATTGCTACAATTCGTTTTCTTAATCAATTAGCAGCTCTCTCCCTATCTCGCGATCCCTCTCTCTCTCTATCTCTCTGTCTCCCTCTCTTTAAGGGCAAACGAGTTAGAAATCTGTGAGCATTTACTTGGAGCTTTCAAGAACTTCTCAATTTCTAGTCACTCTAGTCAAGATCATCAAATAATTGTTTTAGTTGCCTAATCAGCTGTCAGACTTTTTTCTGTTGCATGCCGCAATCTGTGCCACTGCCTGTTGTTTTTTTGTTTTTTGTTTTATGGCACTGTGTCATCGGTCTGGCAGCAGCACTCGCATATGAGCACATATATATATGCAGATATGTGGGCGTCTGGCAGTCCGAAGTTATTCGAGTCCACGTCCCTGACGGGCCACAGCGAAGCATTTCATGGCACGTCTCATGCCTCATGGCTTATATCTCATGCCGCATGCCTCATGCCTCATTCCTAATGCCTACAGTCTGCAGTCTGCAGTCTACAGTCTGCTGTCTGCAGTCTACAGTCTTGAGTCTAGTGTTTGTGGCTTGTCATTTGCCATTTTTCACACTGGAAGCTGGCAGAAGGCGAACGCAAAGTACAAAGATAAACATTTTGCATGGCCATTGCTAAAACTCATATAATTACAAGAAGCTGTCGCCGGGCAGCCCCTGACAACAACTGCCAACAGCAACAAAAGCAACAACAACAGCTACAAAAGCAAAAATACAGTTGGCAAATTTGCCAAACAATGCAGATCGCTGGGCACGAAGTCGCCAAATGTCGCATTGATGGAACTTTTTCTTTTGTCGGCTGCTCGGCTGCATTTGCAGTTGCCCCATACCCACCCCCGCTTACCCTCCGCCCGATCGTCTGGGGCTGCGGCCTGGCCAGTGTGGCAATTATGGGTCTCGACTCGTGCCACGCGTCCGCATTTGCTGTACCACAAAATAATGTGCACTTTGCAGCTCAAATTGTTGCCGCAGTGGCCGCACTTCTGCTGCTGCCGCCGCTCGGCTGCAGCAGATTATCGACTGTGATGTTCGATGCAGCCAAATATATATGCGCATGTCTGTATGCTTGTATGTACAGTAGAACTACTTTAATGTGGACTGCATCAAACGAAACAAGCGCTCTTTTAACGAATACTTATTTGGAGTTTTGGTTCAATCATGAAAATATCAATTCAAGTATTAGTATTTTTTAAGCCCAATTAAACTCGATCTGGGAACGGAACAGGATTAAATCAACTTCTAATGACTCTTAAGCTAAAAACAAAATAGCCTTAAATTAAGAGCGCCAATGCTGAAAAGATTCTAATTGAAATTAAAGCTAACGGTGTTCAATTAAATAATCACTCTCTCTCTCTGTCTCTCTCTCTCTCTCTCTCTCTCTCTCTCTCTCTCTCTCTCTCTCTCTCTCTCTTGCTTATTTTAATGAACTTGTTTTTTCTTATGACATGCGTAAGACATATTTTACGCTTTTTACAACTCCTTTAAAAATGTATCTAAGAAAAACAAGAAGCTGACAGCTAAACCCTAAAGCTCGGCATATTCGTTGATGTCTGGAATATCCAACTCAATATACTGTAAACTATATACAGTTATGCGAATATATCTACATATATAACTGATACATTATTGTGGCTATCAGAGCAGATTTTGAGTAAGATCTAGTATATATTAATTTTGTCGAAAGTCCTCGTCCTCTAGTTTAACTGTACCGCAATGGACATCGACTGTAAAACAGATTTGTATGTGTGCATATGCTTACACATGTATCTAGATACATGCATACATATGCATGCATACATACATGCTTACATATATATATAGCCTGTACTCAAATTGTGTGGCAAAGAGCAAGAGAGACTGCCCCATCGTTTATTGCAGCCAATGCTTAAATGGAGCAACTGTGGGGCTGGAGCTGGAGCGACACAGTTACAGTTACATATACTGTTACAGTTACAGTTACAGTTACAGTTACAGTTGCAGTTGCAGTTGCCGCTATAGTAACGGTTTAACGTTAAGCGCTGCGACTGGCGATTTTTGGTTTGTTTATTTTCTGTTTTTTTTTTTTTTTTTTTTGATTTTTTCATTTTGGCAGCAGGTTCACAACGAACGCGGCATGCGCTGCTCTTGAGATTTGGGCAAATGGCCTGGACAACTGGCAACTGGCAACTGGCAACCGTGCAGCATGCCACATGGAGCGCTGCCACATCCGAGTTGTCCATGTGCCTCACGCAGCTGAGAGCAGAGCACTCGAAACGAGAGCAAAAGCAGTCAATGCTGTTGTTTTTGTTATTGTTGTTTTGGCTTTCGGTCACCCATTTGTTGTTGTTTTTGTTTTTTGTTTTCTTAGCAGTTTAGCGCCCGTTGTCGTGTCCCCGGTGCCAGTGTCCACGTACCAACATTGGCCTAATGTTGCACATTGTGTGCTGATCTTGTTTATTATGCAAGAAAGCTGCCAAAGTAAGCCAGCAACAGCAGCAACAACAACAACAACAACAAGCACTGAACGCAACATACATGCAACCAAAGCACGAAAGAAAAGTAATTTACAATAAACTCGAAACTTTCATACCCTTTGCAGAGCTAATATTTAAAATGCAACCTGTTTTTTTATAAGAATCTCGAGAACCAAAGACGATCCATTAAGTTACAGAATAAAATATTGACCAGGAAGCATATTCCCCTTTGTTCCACAAATCGGATTCTCACAAAACAAACCCAAACACTATATAGTTCGAGTAAAAGGCACTTTCAGAGCATTTCGTAACGGCCATCAGGAAAACAAATACACTTTCGTATTATATCATTCTCAGAAACTAAAACTAGATATGTAGATATTGGCAGAAAAGATTTGAAATGTTCGCTTTAATTAATTTCAATCAATGGAAGCATTCAGTACTTTCACGTGAATGGCGCATTGCACATACAAATGCCCAATTTGGGGTCGCGTTTATTAATATGCATATGACAAAATACCTTTTGCAGTTGTTGTGCTCGTTGTTAATGGCTGCCCACTGTTTCACTTCACTTGATGCACACAACAAAAATAAATAAACAAACAACATACACACATATGTAAGTATATTATAATTTGGAATAAGAAACACGCACCGAACTCACATAAAACCAAAATGAAAGGCAGCGCGTGCCAAGTTCGATCGTTGAATCGTTTTCAAAAGAACCCGCCAAACGCGAGCGCATAACCATCAAAAGCTGGACTGAACGCAAGGCTACAGCTGCACAGCTACAGCTACTGTCTACTGTCTACTGTCTACTGCTACTGGACTGCCAGCAGACAACTGCGCGAGCGGCACGCTGCGGGCTCTGCGCAGAGCGCGTCGCGACTTGCGACGGCAGCAGAATGGAAACGAAACGCGCCAGAATGGAAACGAAACGAAAGTGGGCGTCAGGCGGCGTGCGTCGCGTGTAGGCCTAAGGCAATTGGGAACAAACTGAAACTGGAACGGCAACTGGAACTGGAACTAGTCTGAATGGTTGGTTCTGCGCTGGGGCGACATGCGCAACTGGGTCGGGTCAAAGGGTAGCATTTAGCTTTTAGCCAAACCTACATAGCAACTGTTCCGCTCGGGACTTGTTCAATTTGATCGGTATTTTGCTTTTTTGTTTAGCTCGTGTGTAAAAACTAGGACTAAAGGAAATAACACAACATTAGCAAACAGTTTAGTAAGTATTATCTAAATAAGTATTATCTGAACAAATGTGTGTTTAACATATATGCTGGTATATCTACATGACTTGCCGTAGCTATTATTCGTATTCTTTTTGCAACAAAATACTATTTTGGATGTATCCACTAAACAAATTCGCAAAGGTAAACATTGCAGGCTCAATTAGAGCCTTGTTTTATATTTAACATGTTCATGCACACTCGTCCCAATATCTACCCTTCAAATGAAATAAAGCTGAATCATAAGCACTACGACTTCACGAAAGCCTTGATTCAATGCCACGTTCGTGGTGCTATTCACATCAAGCACGAATAAAGAATCATAAGAAATGTTCCGCCGATTCACAAGCATTCAATGCTCTTCCTGTCCAAATCGCCCCATTAGGAGCATAGCGAAATACCTACTCGTAAATTTGCTAGGCCACCTGCCACCAGCCATTTGTGTGGGGCAAGGTCAGCGACGAGTTGACAGCCCAAGTGGCCACCGGTGAGCATCGATGGTCGCGTGGATCGCCTTGATTGTTGCGGTTCAGTGCAACTGGCTCGGAAGTGATTCTCTTTGCTTAGCGTTATACTCTGCCATAAGGTATTACACTGGCAACGCTGTGGAGCCCCTAAAGGCATCTCGATTATATTATATCGAATAACTGCATAACACAGTTTCCAATGTGCAATGCTAAATTCTCCATATCTGATCAAAATCGGAGCCCTACATCATATAGTTGACATGGGCGATGCTTATAAAACAACTTTTAAAACAGTTGAACATAGTTCTATAACATATGAAATTGAGATAGATATTGCAATCGAAGGAATGAGCGTATGAACTGTCAAAACTAATAGTTGAGATCTTCTTCTTGCTAGGAATTAACCTAAAGCTGTTTAATGAGTCGGTCTGCAAGGGTATTCAATCTTCGACTTGCGAAGATAGCCGTTCGTGTTTGTTCGTTTTGTTCGCATCGTCTGGCCCAAGTTGAGGTCGGAGCTTCCTCTAGGGGGCACTGCGCAGCGTTGCAGAAAACTAACCGCTTGGGAGCACTGAGACACCTTTATAGAAGACTGGCCTCAAGTCCGGCATAAATTAGATTGGCCGGCGATAGCACAGAAACTATGACTGGCAATCTGGCAGATCAATAAGTTTAAAATTTGCGCTGATATGTCGGATACTTAGTCTTGAAGCTATAATTAGTGAAGAATTAATCAGCTTACCTCAATCTGTGGCTGGAATTCGGCTTGGCTGCCCGTCTGGGATACCAGATCTAAAACAGGTTGTGTTCAATTATTATTTGGCCAGCGCCAGAACAACACATCACAAAAAAAAACACACACACACACACACAGGCAGATACACACAGTCACACACGCACACGGCAAATATTGTTTTCGGGAATTGAGCAAAAAGTGCACACAGCCTCAGCAAATTATTCGATTTGCGTTATTCGAATCGTATATCATAAATCATGTGTGCGTTACAAAAACAAAACAAAAATGTTTCAATATTCACCGTAAAAAAAAAAGAGGAAGAAAAACAATATTTAAAACCGAAAAAATGAAAGGTATTTCGGTGTCAAAAAAAAAAAAAAAAACAAAGAAAAAAAGTTGTCATCGACAAGAAATTAACAACATTTAACACTGGGCCATTAATTAAACAAATAACTGTTGCTAGCGTTTAACAAATATCAAATTGCCAATGATGAGGGTACACGGCCATTAGGAGATCTCGCAAATTAGCAATCGTGAATTGAATACACTCGTTTACTTGGGCTACCGGCGAAACGGATTCACTTGCTGTCAACTCTGCGACAGGCTCTTAAAATCACTTTTGACAACTGGTCACTTTGACAGCGGGTCACTCAAGGGCTCCGCCAAACAGTCTGCAAGTTTATGCGGCGATTCGAATTGCACTTGGCGCGCCAACCTTTGTAGATCTTCAAATGATCGATTATCGATTCGTCTGTTTAGTCTAGTCTCTCAGCTCTGCAGTGCGAGTTCACGTCAGCTCTGGCCGAATGCACAACACCGACTAACCAAGTGATAAAGCCAAAGCTATGCCGCAGCTGTTCGTGAAACAAGCGCATTGCGACTTAAGCTGCGATCGCACTAGCTCCAGCTACTCGGCGCGCCAGTTGGGGAATAGAGTTTACAAAAGCGCTGCAAAACCAAAATATTCACATATTTAGAGGGTATCGAATTTTTTTGACAAAATGTGTAGCGCATAGAAGAACATAGAGGACAACTCCGACCCAAAAAGTATATGGTATATATATTGGTAGTAAAAAGTTTAAGCTATTCCAGGCATTGCTTCAAACATTGCCGAACGTTTGGCTTAATCAATCAACAAGAAAAAGTTCAAATTTGGTTATTTGAAACACTTTCTTGAAAAGAAGTTGACCTAAACTTAGAATTTATCGCTACACGATTTTCATTAATAACGCTGCAAATTAAGCGACCACAAGAAATGGTTAAAACTGCGAACATATGTCATTTATGCTCTTTTACATTTGTTTTAACATAAGCCAAAATTTTACTTTAATCGGTGCTAAAAAGGTAAATGGCATGTAGGAAAAAACAAACGATAAAACGACGCGTTAAGTAGGGCAATAATAATTCAATTGTGCATACCATATACGAATAGCTACATTAATCAAGCTAATTTATAGAACTTTCATTTATCTTTTTCAGTCCCCATCAGATGAGCTGTACAAATGTTAAGGGGCTCGACTCAAAAGCTAGTGTGTGGATATGTTAATTTTTTAGCCTAATAATAATTTAAGTAGAAATAGTAAAAATAATAATTATAACAATAGAGGTCATAATTATTGGAATAATAATACTTATAAAAGTAATTCTTATAGGCATATAATAATATTAATATTAAATTGTTTTTATTGAAGTTCTTTCATTGAACTGAGCTCGTCTGAACGCAGCTTTACCCTGACGACGCGCAACAAGTGGAAATGAAACGAATGTGAAATGTTTGAAATGTTGCTGCATGCAAGAAGGAGAACGGGCAAAGCGACGGGGCCGGGCGGGGCAGAGCAGGGGCGCGCACTTGTCTCAAATATGCTAATGATAAACAATCAACATTAAAACATTTAGTGAAATGTATTTGTTTTTTTTTTTTTCTGGTTTGGTGGGCGCAAGGATATAAACATTTGCAACCGCTTGTCCAACTAGCTCACAATTTATGCAAATTTGTTCATTATGAAACTTGGCAATCGTTAGGGGAAGAGTTATTGCAGGGGCACAGACAGATAAATCTGTTCATATGCAAATGTGTTTTTTATTTGAACCTGCGAAAGGTAAACGATCTTAGTGGAGAACAGGAGTGCATAGTTCGATCGATCATTACCTTCTGATCTCTTAACACTGAGGTGCATTCATAATGGTTGGATATTTACAATAAAGGGTCTTAAGATGATTCCCCTCTTAGATAGTTCGCAGGGTGCCTCTCTGTGATGGATTCAGCCAGAATACTGGCGATCGCGTTCGCTTGAAAAAGAGAAGTTTACCTGATCTCCGAACTTTGTTAGGCGAAGATCGCGTTGACTATATTCTTAGTCGATGTAGCTGGTAAGTCGATGCCGTGCCTAGTCAGTTTATTTGTTAAGCAATGGGGAACTCTAGCAACTTTCCAGAAATATTTTAACCCTGATTTCTGTGGGATATTTACTGCATTTTCCAAGTATATAAAATAATAATTAAGTGTTGCAGTCAATTAACTAAGAAAAGCTTTAGTTTCTTGCCATCATTTTTACGTGGATTAGTGTATTGTTCATATTTGCCATTGAATTGAATTCCAATCTTGTCAACCATTTGTTACGTTCTAAGTTTAATTACGATTTCAAATGCGAACGAGTTGTTGGCATGTGAACACGTGAATACGGCTCATTCACTTCACTTATGGAAAGTCGCGCTAAAAGTATGTAAATTATGTAATTGTAACAAATAAACTCAGCCATTTTAATGAACTCCGAGTATCTTAATATCCCAAGGAGACAAAATTATCTGAATTGGAAACGTAAAACTAACTGAAGCAAACAAATTGAATATTCATTATAAATTGTGTTCATTATAAAATGTGTTCATAATTTATTCTTAAGTACATTAATTGTTAGCCAAGCCTTTTAATCAACATCAACAGCTGAGTTAATTTAAACATTTCCGATTGTCAGCTTCTTGCAATCTCATATAAAAGAAAGAGACGCGTACTTCGATAAGATTCTTTTGACAATATCAACCCCCCCCCCCCCCACACACACACACACACACACACACACACACACACATACACATACACATGTAGATCGGTAAGACTCCATTATGAGCTTCGATTCAGGGAACCAAACTGCGATCTGTCGATCTATCGAGTGGCCATAGAAAAAAAAGAGCGCAGACGGAAGTCGTGGCAATAAAACATAAACCTACAATAATAATCGAAACAATTAAACAAAGGCAAACTGTAAAATATACGTAACTATCTATAATAACAACAACAACAATAACAACTACAATAACAATAATAAAGTTGATGACTATTGACGGCAATGATTGCGAGCCGATCTAAATCTGACGTTTGCCACAGCCAAGGAATGGCATGAATGAAAAGGGGAGTGGGGGGGGGGGGGGGGGGGGGGGGGGTACGGTTGGGAGGGGCATGTTGGG